AAAGAAAAAAAAAAAAAAAAGAGATTGCCGAAATAAAAACACCTTAAAATGTACAATAATACAAATGGCACACCACAAGTCTGCTGTGTCAAAGTATGACAGAATGCGATCGATTCCCCTCAAGGGTTGAAGATTCAAGTTGAGGTTATTTTGTGAATTCAGGGCCCCTTTCGTCTCTGGCGGGGGGGGCCTCATCTTTCTGTGCACACTACACACACATACATACACACATCCTAAAATCAGGCACCAAAGAGATTGTCTTTTGACACATTTTGTAGATTACATACATTCACTTGGGAAGGGTACACGTGTTTGTGTGTGTGTGTGTACTCAAAACACGCAGTTATGTTGCAATCAATGTGCACTAAAATAGGGGTCCCAAAAAGTTATTGCCAGCTTGCAGAGTAGACATGCAGTTGTTGTTTTTTATGTCACGTTATAGTAAAGCCACTGATGTGTCGACGCGTGCTGTGATGTGAGAAAACGTGTGCCTCCGTGTGTTTTGGTGTGCAGTATTTCAGGAATCATCGAAATCTCCTCCAGCCATCTACGAGAAACTCCTCAAAAGGCACTTAAATAGGGGAAATTATTCTTTTTTTTTTACATTTATATAATTATCTGTGATATAACATGAGACTGGATGCAAGTGGCAGAAGTATGTGGAGACAATCCACATCTACAAACATACTCCACTGTCAATGTAAGACTAAAATGCAAATGCATTCACACAGTTGCAGTCATACAAACACAATATTTTCCCATCATGTCATCTAAAAACTCTAACCATTCAATCTGACAGTAGCCTGCCCCAGTTTCTGGATAGGGAAGATTCTTCTGTGCAAAAGTTTACCTTCAATGTGCAGCCTATCATTCATTAAGTGCACATCCAATACTCACCTACACTTACTTGTTAAACATACGTCAGACATGCTTACACTTTCTCAAGGAGGTCTTTTTTATAAAATGGTCAAATACTTGATTCCATAAGTCAACAAATCCAACTCAATTTCAAAAAGGCACCAGACTAGCACAGTGAGGGTGAGTCTCGCCGTGGGCCACTCCTGTGCTTAAGTTCAAACAAATGTGGAAAGACTGGGTTTCAGTTATTATCAGTGAGTAGAGGAGATAAAGGAGGGGGTGTGGGGGTAGCAGGTGGTGG